TGGAAGCCTGCAACAAGTCTAAAGCACCTTTCAGCAGGGACCCATAAAAAAGGGTTAGGGGTGGCCAGACAAATTTGGGAGGAAAAGAGCAAAATTAAAATCAGATAAATGCTGCCATAGTCAACCTCTACACTGGTCTCTCACCCACTTTTGACGAAGAAACAGGACAAAGCTTCTTCACGTCTCCTCTGCTCCCTATGCCTCCCTCAGGTCTCCTTCTGGCTCCCAGTTCTGCTTCCATCCTCTTCGGTCTCCTCTCCTCCCTGTTTAGCTCCACCTTCCTTCTTGGTGGGGCCGGGAAGCTGCAAACTCCCATTTTCCCGAGGACCACCCTGTTACTGGAAGAGTATCAGAGCAGTATGATCTTGATAGCAAAAAGAAAGAATTCCAAGAGGTCATTGTCAGTGTGATAACTACTACTTAGGGCTCAGTTAAGATAAAGCCAGGAGTGACCACTGATTTTATAAACTTGTTTATTTTTGTGACTGGTGAATCTTCTCAGATGAATTGTCTAGGATGTGTTAAGAGAGGACAGACACAGGAAGTCACAAGGGTGTTGAAGGACCGAGGCAGTAAAATAGAATTGGAGCAGATTCAAAACCAAATGACTAGAAGAGAGAAAATATTTGCAATTTGTATAACAAGGGAATCATCTTTTCAATGTATAAGTATCTTTTAACATGGAGGGAAAAATGATCAAAAGCCAGATAGAAGAAAATGGCTAAAAGAGTTAAATATAATTTATTAAAAAAAAATGAAAATAACTCTTAAGTATAGGAAAATAGTTTATCAAATCATTTTAGAATATCTGGTTTATTTTTCTTATATCTATCCCAGCATTCAATCCATTGCAACAGTATTTTTGTTGACATATATTAAAGAAAATTTGTTCACACATGGGAAAAAGAAGAGAATTGTAGTAGCTTTTCAGGTTCAGATAGTCATGTTTTTTTTTCTGAAATCATGTCAACAAATACATTTTGTCCTGTTGCCTTAAAACCCATTGATCTTATAATGTCAATCATTGGTCTATTAAAAAATACTTTATTCAGAGTTTGTAAATTTTCCAAATGTTGACACATTCGTTATATAATATAAAAAATTTATTTGTTAATGTTGCCACCAATTCTGATACCGTAATTTCATCAGAGAGGATGCTATCAAGGTATTAAGACACTGTGAAGCTTACAATAGAGGGTACAGTTTTCCAAAACTAATCATTTGCTTAAAAGCTCAGATTTTATCATTGGCATTTATACAGTCAGTGGTAGCCTCAAAATGACAGGATTTCTTTACTGGTGCTTAAGAAAATGTCTTCCAATTGACTCCATCTAACCAGTTCGCTTCATTTGTTCTTTCAATATAAAATGTTTTATGAAAAAAACATGTTAAATAATTGCAACTCAAATTTTTCTTTAGACAACCATTGTAATTCCATATGCCTCAGAAGAGCTTTGTGCGTTCTTTCCATTTTATCACCCAGAATGTTAATGAAATAATCCTGCACTCCAAGGTTGAAATTTACTAGTTTACTATTTCAAGGAGAAACAACAACAAAAATCTTATATAAAACTGGTGTTTCTCAAAGAAAGGAGTATTCAAATATGAAGTTATTGTGTGTGTGTGTGTGTGTGTGTGTTTTAAGTAAAATAAATGCAGTACTGTTTAAGACTATTAACGGTCAGAAGTCAGTCGGTTTATTTACTCATTGCAAACTTCAACATGGTGAAAAAGACAAATCAAGTCTTGGGAGCCACAGGTTGGAAGCTGCTGATTTATTGTTTTCAGATGGCACTGTTTCTTTGCAGCCCTCAAATAACGGAATGAGGTGACCGCTCTAATGCCGGGCCATACAAGTAATGACAACGGCAGGGAAAAATAGTAACAAAAAGAATCATTTAGAAGTCTTTCAGCTTTCACAGCAGCACTCAGGAAGTACAAGCAGTATTTCTGGGCAGTCACTTCCATTGACAGGGGTCTGAAGGAGCCCAAATCACAGTGAAAGAACAATCACATTTTCTTACTCTCTGGTCTCTACACATCATACACTGCCCTCACAAGATTTTTGCAAACCTCATCTTAAAATAGGTAACAGGTATGTGCATCCTCACAATGAAAACTAAAAGAGTAATGTGGTAGACACCAGAGCTCCCTGCTGGTGGGGCCTTTTACTCACCAGTTTAAAGAAGTTTTGATGCCCATTTCTCATCAAGCCTCACACTCACAAGCTTCATCAATAGGCTCGACAAAAAAGTCTAAAAGGAGGTCCCATTTGGGGGATGAGGGTAAACGTTATATCTGAAACAAAATCAAGTTCTACTTTACCATTATTTTCCTTGTGATTTGTCCCCACTGCTACCAGTTTCTTGGCTTCTTCTGCCTTGTACAACACCTATGGAGCTGAAGATGCTTTCCGGTGTCCCTGCCCCTTGGGCATGTAATGCCAGTACCATCACAGGTGTCTGACTGCACACTT